CAAAGTAGCCCGGAGGAGCGTCGAAGACTGACTCGTCCGAGGAAGGGCGACGGACGGTGACAAGGGGGCCGGCGTAGCGCATCGCCCTGAGAAACTCGTCACTCGACAAGTCGCACTTGCACTCGCGGATGAGCGAGTCCACGAGCAAGGTGCGCCTCTGGAGGCGATGGTCGCTAACCCCGGGCACCTCAACAACCGCGACCTCCTCGAGGGACGGAGAACCCGGCTGCTCCGATCGGCAGCCCTGGGCCACGGAACCCCGACTGCCGGGCCCGAGCTCGCGCTCGGCATCGGATGTTTGAACAGGGGACGACGCGATAGACATGAAATAGCAGGCAGAAGAACTGACCTCAAAGGAGCGTCGCCGGGGGAGAGCGGGAAACGACGAACGGCGACGCGTGAACAGGGAGGCAGAGAGCGGCGGCGCGGCACAGCGAGTGAAGCCAAACCCTAATGTTTTCTATCTCTAGAATTGGTGAGAATGAAGGAAGCTTTGGGGTTATTTATACTAAAATTGGGCCCAAATAGTGATGGGCCAAGCAAGTACCACGGTTGGGCCGCTGATTGGGAGAAGCAAAGCGCCATAACCGTATGCGGGGAACTCCAAGCGTCACCGCCTACCCGCCAAGCTACGCATGGGCCCACGAGCTGACCGAACACGGTGCTTTCTACTCTCACGCGCTCCACTGCTAGGTGCCATGGAACCCGGAGAGTGGGGGGCTTCTGATGGGGAATAACCCCACACCGGCCTAGGGCTGACATCAGCGTAAATTTCCAAATGCCCGCCAAACTTCCTGCCCGGCTCTGCGCTCCGCTCGTCATTCCTGCCCGGCTCTGCGCTCTGCTCGTCCTCCCTGCGCGGCCGACCAAGCCGAGCCCGAGCCCCACGACAATGACATGCGGAAAGTGACGTTCAACGGAGACTTGAGGAAAGCGATAGGATGAAAGGGACAAGACGGGCGGAAAACGACGTTCAACGAAGACTTGGTGAAAGCGATAGGATGAAAGGGACAAGACCTAAGGACAGGTGACGTCCGCTAAACGACGGGCCTCGATCA